GTACCTTGGGCTTCCTGAGAGTGAGGTGGGCCAGGAAGTCGGGCTCCTCCCATGGGCTCGGCTCCTCCCATAGCAAATGTTACAAGAGGTCAGGAGCCGGGGAGCTTAAAGGGTATGCCAGGAACTGGCACGGTGGCACTTCTACCTCGGTTTTCCACATAGCCAAGGAGCCCTCCTGCAATCAAGAAGAGACAGACTGACATGGGTAGCAAGGTCTTCTCGCAGAGTAGATGTGGTGTGGAGGACACTCCTGCAGCCACCTTTAGAACATACCATCCACCTCCACGGAGATCTCAAAAGAGATGGGCCTCACCTGCAGATTCTCAAATGACTTTCGGACCAGACTTCCAGAAACACTGACGTCACAGGAGTGTTCCCGTTCTTCCTCAGGGGTACAAAATGAGAACACACATTTCCTTACCTCCAGGGATTCTAAGCCCTTCACAGGCAACGGCACCAACAACCCGGGCTTCTTAGAGGGTTTCCCCAACCTCTGACTCCTTCTACCAATTGGGGTGTTCCAGCCTTCCCTCACCCCAAATTTGGGTCTGGAATCATGTGGACACCTATTACCCTTCATCCTTAAGTCTGTCTCATTCACTGTTCTGCGCTCTGCTCAGAATAATAAACCACAAGAACTCTCTCCCACCTGGTGGAAGCCCCTGCCTCATCCACCAGGCCCTCCTCTGTCTTGAGGCCCTCCTCAAGTCTGGATTATTTATTTATTTATACCTGGGATTGAACCCAGGGACGCTTCACCACTGAGCCACATCCCCATTCCATTTTTGATTCTTACTTAGAGAGGATCTCACTAAGTTGCTTAGGGCCTCACTGAGTTGCTGAGGCTGGCTTTGAAGTTGCGATCCTCCTGTCTCAGTCTCCTGAGCCACTGGGATGACAGTTTGGATTATTCAGATTTTACCTCATTTGTAACAAGCTGTTTTTCCCCCCTCAACAGATTGTTTATTAATTTATTTTTAAATAATTATTGACTCATATGAAGTTGCAAAACTAGTGCAGAGAGTTCCATGGATCCTTCACCCAGATGCGTCACGTGGACATCTCACACAGCTCTAATACTAGGAAACCGATGTTGGTACAATACCATAAACTACAAACTTTTATTTACTCTCACCATGTTTTATACTCGCTCCTTTATGTGTGTTGATGTAGGTGCAAGCCATGCATTTCAGGGTTTTGGGTCCTTCTTTAGCAGCAGAACCCTCTCAGCCCCTTTCACACCCTTACAGAAAGTCACATGGAAAAGCAGCTATTCCCTCTTTCTGGGATTTTTAATATTTTTAATAGTCCAAGAGATTGAACCCAGGAGTCCTTAACCACTGAGCCCCAACCCCAGCCTTAGTGAGTCAGGGTCTCACTAAGTTGCTGAGGCTGGCCTTGAACTGGTGATCAGCCTCCCGAGTGGCTGGGTTGACAGGCATGGGCCATCACACCCGGAAAGCAGTGGATGACTTTTCTCTGCACCAAGCATCAGGTACGTCTCTCCAAAGCACTTTATTCAGGTTTTGTGTTTATTTTCCTGCTGGTTGATTCAAGTTGTTCTGACTCTCTAGGCTGGAAACCCAGGAGAGTGGGAAGCATTTTTTAAAATTGCCTCACTTATCCCCACTGACAGCCACCTCCAGCCATCACAGGTGTGGCAGCTGGCTTCCAGCATGGCGCCCAGTGAAGCCGCTTCCTGGTATCCGTGCCCCCCACTGGGAAGTTCTCCTTCCTGTACTCATCAGGACAGGATAGCAGACTAAAGAGAGGACTCTGGTTACATCTGAAATCCAGATAAGAGGATGGGTAATTTTTAGTATTTTACAAGGTTGAATGATACATAATCAAAAAATAGTATTCATTTAACCTGAAATTCACAACTGTATTTTTATTAGCTAAACCTGGCGCCCCTAAGTAGGGCTATGTAATCAATAGGAAATTGCAGAGATGACCACGTGTGACTTCTGAGATTAAGTCATAAAGGACCTCAGGAGGTTCCGCGGCAGGGAACTGAGACCTATGGATGATTCAGCCCCTGTGGAACTTTCAGATGAGTGCAACCCCAGGAGAGACGAGGCTGAGTCAGAAGCACCCAGGTCAGCCACTCCCCACTTCCTGCCCAAAGTGTTGTGAGGTGTTTTCTGTTGTTTCAAGGTGCTAAGTTTGGAGGTCACTGTGACATTGTGGTAGACAATGGCTAGGTACTTGATCAATATTGTTAATGAGCTGGGGGCAGTGTTGCTCACCTATAACCCCAGGGGCTCCTTAGGTTGAGGCTGGAGGATGGCAAGTTCAAAGCCAGCCTCAACCACAGTGAGGCCCTAAGCAACTCAGTGAGACCCTGTTTCTAAATAAAACACAAAAAAGGGCTCAGTGGTTAAGGAGCCTGATACCAAAATAAAAAATAATGTTAATGAATAAGTGAATGTATGCTCTTGCGGGTTGCTTGCTTTATCGATAACGTCCGAGATCTGGGGAAACTTGTATCCCAGCTTTCTATATAAGGACAGAGTCTTCACAAGTTCTTGAAATATAAGTAGAAACCATCTGCAAGGAGCACTTAGAGGGAAATCAAATTTGTAATCTCAGCCAATCTGGGTTTTCAGTTCTGCCAAGTTCAGGACACCATATATATTTTTGTGACAAACTTCAAAATAAGAATGAGCCATGTGCAACTGCATAATGTCACTGTCCTAGAAAAAGTACATGTGCTAGACTTTAAATATATCAGCTTGGAAACAATCCACTTAAGGATTGTTTCTATGGTATCAACCTATTTAAAGTTGTAACTGAGCAATGCTTTTTTATTTCCCCCAAAATTCTTTTGGAGGACATGTGGAAACTGCGGTGTTCCTTAGGCTGCAGAGGGGAGTGGTCAGCATGTGGATAGAGACAGGAGGGTAAAGGAAACGTCTTTGAAGGTTGAGGAACTGCAGACACAGTGATGTACACAGGGCGTTTGTGCTTGTGACCATGAATGCCCACCAATCACTTTAAGGTTGGCTCAGATAGATCCCTCWGGGCAGGGTAGTGCATCCCTGTAATCCTAGCGGCTCTGGAGGCTGAGGCAGGAGGATCCTGAGTTCAAAGCCAGCCTCAGCAACAGTGAGGCACTAAGCAGCTCAGTGAGACCCTGTATCTCAATAAAATTTAAAATAGGGCTGGCAATGTGGCTCAGTGGGCGAGTGTCCCTGGGTTCAATCCCTGGTACACCTCCCCCACCCTGAAAAAAAGAATTAAGTGAATTAAGCCAGGGAAAGTGATCAGAAGAGCCCCCAGCAAAGAACCAGTAGGACAGCCTCAGTGACATTTGCCCTGCTCTGCCCTGTGCTGTGGCATTTAATTATTTGAATTATTTAATTATTTCAATGCCACGTACGACATTCAGTTGTCACATCTCTATAGTCTCCTTCAGTCTGGAGCAGTTCTAGGTCTTCCCTTGACTGTCATGGCCTTGGCACTCCAAGGTTACAGGCTAGCTCTTCTGTAAAATGTCCCTTTATTTGGGTTTGTCTGATAAATCCTCCAGATTAGATTTTGCATCTTTGGCAGGACTAAGACGGGAACAAGGCTGTGATCTTCTTGGGGCATTTTAACAACTGGCCATGACTTCACTCTGTCTAGCTCCTGACAGTGACCAGAGTCTGCACTCCTGTCTCATGACAGTCCATAAGATTCCCCTCTCCCAAAACCACACAGTGAGGTGCATCTGACAAGTGAATCCATGGGCGTCAGCTGCCCTCACCATCCACTTACCTGCAGCTCTGAAGTCTGGTAAAGCCAGAAACACAGGAGGAGCCAAGCTTCCTTTTATTTTTGGCCTTAACATATAAACCTGTGTCTAGTTTCAGGCCCAGACTTAAAACCCTATCTTTTCTCCTTGTTTCCCTCAATCTGCTTGAGGACTTTGCAGTGTTCGGCTCTTCCCTTCACCTGCTCCTGGGCTCCAACCCCAGGCTCTAGTTTCTTTCTAGAGTATATACCATGTGTCAGGCACAGTGACTCCACGTATCTCTGGAGAGAGAGACCATCCAGTAACAGTCCCCGTTCCTAGGAGAGCCTTGCTTAACTGGCTTTATGTAGGTTTTCATTGAATTCATAGCAACTATGGAAGCCACACCAAGTCCAGTACTTTATTCACTTACAGCGATCGCCACACGGAGATGACAGGAACAACCAACGCTTCCTAAGCACCTACTGTGTGCCAGCTACAGTCTCCCCTGCCTACACAGTTCATCTTACTGAGTCCTCAACCATTTTGCAAGGTGGGGTGGTGGGGTGGGGGGGCTTCCCGTGGTGTGATGCCTGGCTCCTGGCCCAGCTGGGACACGGCTGGACCGAGAGGGAAGCCCGGAGCTGGCGCTCCGTGTCTGGCGCGGAGTCCCCGGGTGGGCGCTTCCCGCAGGGCGGGTCCTGCCTGTGGGCATGCAGCGTTTAAATTAGACCAGGGAGTGGAGGGATTTATTCGCCAGCCGGTTGGAAAGAAGACAGGAAAATATTCCTGGAGAGAATACTGGGAGCTCTAGACTTGGCCCGCTCAGCCCATTACTGTCCCCAAACTCTGGCACCAGGCGACTACTGAGCCCACGCCGGCGCCTACAGCGAGGGCCAGGGAATCCGGATTCGCAGCCTTGACGTTCGTCATTCTCTTTTGAACGCCGCGTCCCCGGCCACTCTCCGTCGCTCCCCTCTTGGGAGCCAGTCCTTCATCCCCACTGTACAGATTCAGGGGCGCGGCCTGGCACAGGCGCCTCCTTAGGCCAAGCCGGCTCAACGACATCCTCGCCAGTCAACCCAGCTGGGCCGTCGCGGCGGGAAGGCGGTCGCGGCGGGGAACTCCGCCCCCAGACACTCGGGCCCTGCGCCTTTGCCTCCCTCTTCTATTACCTTAGTCCTTTGCCACAGGAACCGCCCGCTCTAGGGTTGTAGAGCTGCCAAGGCAACCAGCGCGACACTTCCGCTGTTGGGACGTCACTTCCGGCGCGCCGGCCCGGGTACATCCGGGTTCAGGCCGCCGCCGGGAAGGGCTTTTCACGGAGAGTGCGGAGCTGCGTTCGGTTCGCTGGGCGGCTCTTAGAGGTGAGCAGGACGGGGATGACGGGGACGCTGCCCCGCTGGGAGTGCGGGCGAGGGCGAGGGGTGGGCGTACCGTGGCCCTTCCGCCGTGGGGTCCATTTCGCAGACCGCCCTGCCCGGTCGGAAGAGGGGCGGCGCGGCTCGGGGTCATCGGGGATTCCCGGCCTGGGCCGAGTTGGGGACTCCTAGACAGCAGGGTAGAGGCAGGTCCGAGTCCTGGCCTGGGCCTTGCCAGCACTGGCACCCGGACAGATGCTTCCCTTTGCGTGGTGTAAGTATCCTCCTTGCAGAAATGTCTCGATGCCGCCATCAAGTAACCAGCCTGGAGCGCCCAGTATGTACTTGGCATCTTCCGGGGGCCCTGCAGCCCGTGACTGACCTGGGGTTTCCACCGTGCCCTGTGACCCAGGAGGCAGCAGTGTAATTTAATCCAGTGGACCTGGGGCCTACCCCTCCTTTGAGAACATGTCCCGCCTATGCACTCCTGGGTGAGGTGGAGCTGCTGCGTTCAACCAGTGCCCCAGTGGGAGGAAGCAGGGACAGCTTTCTCACAGCTGACCGGAGTCGGCCACTGCCCGAGGAAGTAGGGATCTCCTGACCCTGAAGGCCACTTGCAACAGCCGGTAGACAGGAACACAATGGCTGTCACATAATGAGTATTACTCTGTAGGGCATCATGCTTGGCACCTTATGCACACTGAGGTTCACGTGCTGAGTATCTGGTAGAGTTGGGTTTGAATTCAGGCAATGATTTTAATCTGCCCGATTGCAGTCACCTTGCTAGATTTGGTCCCTAGTCCAACAAAACCATTGGTGATGAACTGCGGCATGGAACTGTTGTTTCTTGACCATTTGCTGTGAGCTCAGTTGTTTTTAATTTTTAAAAGGACTTTTTTTTTTTTTTTTTTTGCCTAGCGGGTCTGCGCACACCTGTAGTCCTAGTGGCTCTGTAGACCGAGACAGGAGAATTACGAGTTCAAAGCCATGGCCTCAGCAATGGCAAAGTGCTTGGAAACTCTAAAATACAAAGTAGGGATGGATATGGGTCAGTGATTGAGTACCCCTGAGTTCAATCCCTAGTACCAAAAAAGAACATTCTTTTCTTTTTTTAGTACCAGTGATTGAACCCAGGGGCACTTAACCACTGAGCCACATCCCAGCCCTTTTATGTTTTATTTTGAGACAGGATCTTGCAAAGTTGTTTAGGGTCTTGCTAAGTTGCTGAGGCTGGCCTTAAACTCCTGATCCTCCTGCCTCAGCCTCCCATCTTGCTGTGATTAAAGGCATGCGACACCATGCCAGGTGTTCATGACTTTTAAGTGCCTCATTGAATCATCTTTGCAAGCATTCTTTAATGTTGGTGCAGTTATCAATCTCAATTTTAGAAAGAGCCAGATCTCATCACAGCTACAGATCTCATCACTTAGTACTGATTGTTTTTTTCTGAAATAGTATCTGTTTTGTGAATATTTTGGTGACCTTTGAATTTGGAGGAAGTGTTCAGGGCAGCCGGGAGTAGAAACTCCCWGGAAATCCTCAAGCTGCTGCCTCCAGGACTCATCACACGCTGTGTCCTGTTTGTCCCTTCCCTAGCAACTGGCCATGTCTCTGTCCCACTTGTACCGGGACGGGGAAGGCCACATGGACGATGATGACGATGAGCGAGAGAACTTTGAGATCACCGACTGGGACCTCCAGAATGAGTTCAACCCCCACCGGCAGCGCCACTGGCAGACCAAGGAGGAGGCCACTTATGGGGTGTGGGCCGAGCGTGACTCGGATGAGGAGAGGCCCAGTTTTGGAGGAAAACGGTACTGGCTGCATGGGCCCTTCCCCTTGCCTTATGAAGTGGGGAGGATGGGAGTGGGGGGCCGCTCCCCGGTAGTGCTTCTCCTGGCCTTATAGAGTCCCCTGGCTGCGTCATCGGGAAGAACAGGTCCTCCCAGGCTGTTCTTCACTTATGTAGCCATCAGCACGTGGTCACTGAACAATTACTGCATACTTGGCCTTGTGCTCTACACTGTCTCCCTGGAGCTCAGACTCTAGTGGGTAACAGCAGATTTTAATCTACACCTCTGTAACTGTGATTTAGGACAGGAAGGAAGCAAGAATGCTTGGGAGGTCAGGGAAGAGTTTCCTGGAGAAGTGACCCTTAACTGATAGGAAAATGGAAGGGGGCTAAGGTGGTGGGACAGGGTGAGTGTACACAGGACCTTGTTTGGAGGCCCGAGGTGGCCACAAGGGCACTGAAGATCTGTAGGCTGGAGAGGAGGGCGGGGGACTTGAGACGGGATTGTAGGGGAAGGGGAGAGCCCTGCCACAGGTGTGCGAAGGAGTCAGGGAGCCCCAGTGATGGCAGGGAGCTCTTTGAGGAGGCCAAGGCTGTGGTCCCAGCAGAAGTGTGGTGGGGTAGGCTAGGGTGGTGGCCAGGAGGTGAGAATGTAGGCCAGAGGTCCTCTCCCTGGGGTGGGAGTCTTGCTTATGCTGGCCTCAACTCACTCACCCATGTGTGCCTCCAGGCTGTGGACTCCTGAGGCTGGGCCCCTGAGGGGGTGTCTTTTTCCCAGAAAGAATAGGGGTGAAAGAACCTAGGGGTCCATTCAGCCTCCTCTCACCCGTAGCAGGTGTGAAATCATATGATATGTAGGTCAGAGGTCAAGACTTGCATGGTCAAGGGCTGATAGGAGTAGCCCACAGATACTGGCCACTCGTCCTGCGGACTTCACAGCCTGGGCTCCTTTCCCTTAGGACAAAGGGGCCATTACTATCCTCCTTGTTGTTGGTGAAGAAATTAAGATTCAGAGTCATACAGCGAGGCAGAAACCAACCTGGAAACAAAACCTGGAGCTCCGAGGTTCTGGAGTTTGGGCATCTTTTAGGAAAAAGTTCCCTGAGTTCTGTGGCTCCTGTGGGATGTTTAATGCCTAGCCCAGTCCTTTTATAAAGCATCACTCTACTTGGCAATATTCCAGGACATCTTTTCTGTGTTCCTCTAACCATAGGGTTGTTTCACACAAAAGGAGCTGGGTTAGTGACTTACCGTAAGTGTTGGTCTTGAAGCAGTCACGGTTTAAATAGTATATTTCACATGGTTAATTTCCTGGGTATTTTAGTTTAGTTCTCATATTTAAATGAATTTAGTGGATATGAGCTTCTAAGTTCAATTAATATATTTATTAACATACTTCGCATTCATATAATCTTTTAATGAATTTTACTTGTGTATGTGTTTTGTTTTGTGTCTTTTTTTTTGTTTTTGTTTTGTGGTGCTGGGGATAGAGCCCAGGGCCTTATGCATGCAAGGCAAGCACTCTTCCAACTGAGCTAGATCCCCAGCCCTTGAGTATGCTTTTTATCTATTTGAATTTCTACTCCTATTTTATTGTTGGACTTGAAATAATGTTTACAACAAATACTTTTAAGGTAGATTAGATTTAAAAAAATGTAAAAGGAAAATCGGATCATCAAGTTTTATCTTGAATTTATAATCAACTCCATATTGATATATTTTTAAAAATATTTATTTAGTTGTAGATGAACACACAGTATCTTTATTTATTTTTATGTGGTGCTGAGGATCAAATCCAGTGCCTCACATATGCAAGGCAAGCGTTTTACTGCTGAGCTACAGCCCCAGCCCCTCAATATTGATATTGATGTATCTTCAGCCATAAATTTGAACTGAACATCCCAGGTGAAAGTTAAATGTGATCACATAAAGCCTGGCCTGGGGTCCTTTTGATATACTGACATACAAATAAATATGTTACTCTTTTTTTTCCTTTTAAATAATTTTTCGGTTGTCAATGGTGCTGAGGATGGAACCCAGTGCCTCACACATGCTAGGCAAGTGCTCTGCCACTGAGCCTCAGCCTCAGCCCAAATAATTGTGTTACTCTTTTAAAATGGATCCCACGAGTCCGCTCTGAGGTCTTCCTTGTGAGCCCAGTTCCAGGCAGGGCCGGCTGCAGAAGAGTTCTTTACTGACCAGGGCTTGCGTCTGTGCCTGCAGGGCCCGCGACTACTCTGCGCCCGTCAACTTCATCAGCGCAGGGCTCAAGAAAGGGGCGGCTGAGGAGGCAGTGCTGGAAGATTCTGAGGATGAAGAGAAACCGATTAAGCAGGAAGACTTTCCTAAAGATTTTGGACCAAAGAAGTTAAAAACGGTAGAGTCTTTATCGCAGGATTGTCACCTGAGCAATGTCCTCCAGAGGCTTCCTGGCAGGGAAGCTCAGCAGGCCCTCTCACGCGGTGGGTCTCTTCCTTCTTGACGGGCGTCACTGATCCGTTTGGTTCCTGATGCTCTTTTTCCCATCAACCCCAGGCCATTTTCTCATGGGCCAGGCTTTTGTAGGTTTTTCTCACAACTAAACTTTGGTTATTCTGTTTTGCAGGGTGGCAATTTTAAGCCCAGCCAGAAAGGTTTTGCAGGAGGAACCAAATCTTTCATGGACTTTGGCAGCTGGGAAAGACACACGAAGGGAATTGGGCAGAAGCTTCTTCAGAAGATGGGCTACGTCCCTGGGCGAGGTCTTGGGAAGAATGCACAGGGTACGGCAGAGCGCCCTGGAGTCCTGTGGGGAGGCCAGGCTGGGGGGGCTCGAGGCAGGGCTCGCTCCTCTCTGCCTTTTCCCTTTTAAGGGGACTCTGACTCTATGGCCTCGTTTGCTGATGTAGGACAGTTGTGCTCTTTGGCTCCCTTGCTGTCTCAAAACCCAGTTAAACAAAAAACACAGAGTGAGAGAAAGTGCTAAGGTCTGAACCAGGCTGACGTGACGTGACATGGCTTCCTTGTGTCCTGACTTGTGTTTCTAAAACATGGATCAGTGGCCAACATTTAGACAACAGCCTGTTTCACCTAAAGTTCTGTATTGTGCCTGGCAGGAGTGTAGCTGGATCATACGGTCCCTCGGCCTGCGTGTGGCCTTCGTCTAGATGCAGTGTCCCACTCTTAATACACTGTGCTCTTTATGGGAACCATCCTGTGCCCTGAAGGCCCCCGGAAAGTTTGTGATCCTCTCACAAGGGTTTTGGTAAAAACAAACAAACAAATAATAAAAACAACAACAAAAACTGGGTCTAGGGGCATCACGCTTGCTACCTGGGAGGCTGAGGCAAGAGGCCTCGGGTTTGAGACCAGCCACAGCCAGCTAGCGAGGCCCTCAGCAAGGGCTGGGATGTGGCTCTTAGCACAGCGCCCCTGGGTTCAGTCCCCAGTGCCTCCCTCCCAGAAAAAGGTCCACGAGTGTCAGTATGACTCTAAGTGGCCTTCACAGCAGCTGGGACCTGTGGCTGTGGCTTTGGGCGAGTCTGTCCTCGCTCTGCTACACGGTCTCCTCTGGTCCTCCCCCACCAGCCCCGGAGAGTCACTGTCCCTCTCCCACATCTCCTCTTGAGTCAGAGCCACACAAATCAGGCAATAGGCCCCTTCCTGCAGGAACTTTTCCTTTTTGAGCTGCTTCCTATGAATGGTCACCTACCTGATGCAATCTGAAGTGTCCTCTGTGGTTGGAGTTCCAGTCTTAAATGGTTGTTGTCAGTCAGGTTGTGTTGGAAACATTAGCTGTGTGGGAAGTACAGGAAGTGGAAAGAAGGTGATGGTGACTGGGAGGGACGGAGAAGGGGTGACCTTGAGCTTTAGCAGCACTTCAGGGGGATCACCACTAACGTCTCATAGTCCTGACTGTGAACGTCTGTCACGTGTACGTGCAGGGCTTGAACATCGTGTGAATATGCAGATAGGGCGGGCGAGCTCCCGGAACCCCGTGTGGAAGGCAGCACCCCTCAGGTGGAGGCGCTGCATCTGGTAGCTCGCACCTCTGTGCCTGAGCCTTCAAGGGGTGGAGTGTCAGATTTCGCACGCCTGTGTTCTCAGCTGCAGGGGACTTGTTCTTTTCTTGTCCACTAACACAGTGAGCATGAGTAGCAGTGGAAATCTGTGTTTGGGACATAAATAACCCAAGGTCAGCAAACAGCAGCATAAATGCTCAGAACTTTGAAACCATGTAGGACATGACAGTGTTCCAAGGACAGGCCCCAGAGCTCCTTTAGGGCAGTGTAATTTTGTGTAAGGGCCAGGACTGTGTGCTACTCAGGTGGCTTGTTCAGTCCATGGGTTGATCTGATCTGAAGCCTCTCTTTTCATCTCTTGCTGGGTTGGCAGGAATCATCAACCCCATCGAAGCCAAACAGAGGAAAGGGAAAGGAGCCGTGGGGGCCTATGGCTCGGAGCGGACCACGCAGTCCCTGCAGGACTTCCCTGTGGTGGACTCGGAAGAGGAAGCCGAAGAGGTAAGCGAAGGTGGGAGATGAGGGTGGAGTGTCTAGTGCCACTGTGGTAGCTGCCTGTCCGTCCTCTCATGCGTCCTCTCAGTCTTCAGGTGTTCATTTTGCACTGGCCATAGGCTGGGTACTCTGCTGGAGACTGGGTGTCCCTTGAGTGGACGTAGCGCCAGTTGGGCAGTAACAGATATACGCAGGCAATGACAGTGGGGAGAGATGGCAGATGTGCCAGGTTCACTGGTGCAGACCTGTGATCCCAGTGACTCAGGAGGCTGAGGTAGGAGGATCGCAAGTTCAAGGCCAGCTTCAGAAATTGAGCACAATTCTCAACAACTTAACAAGACCATGTCACAAAATAAAAAAGGAAGAGAACTGGGGATGGAGTCCTGTGGTAAAGGCCGCTGGGCTTCATCCCCAGTACGGGGGGAAGGAGAGAGGGTGTACTAGGAGGTGCCTGGGCAGAAAGTGAGGCTGGGTGTCGAGCTGTGTTTGATAAACGTGGCTGCCCGGGAAATCTTGGGGGACTGCAGTATTCATTGGAGCCCCAGAGGAAGAGAAGGTGCTAGCAGCAGGGAGAGTGGAGAGACCAGAGAACGTGCATAAGAAACTCTGGGATGGGAACGTGGGAGACCGTGGGGGAAGACCATGGGGGAGGACAGCAGACCCAATAGGGAGGGAGGGGGCTGCCACAGTCTCCTGGCCTCCGTGGCTGTTGGGGTCCTGGCTTGGCTTTACTCCAGCTGCAAGGGGCAGCTCTTTGTCCCTTGGCGCTCATGAGCAAAAGTAGGATGCTACAAAGCAGCCTGACATCGCTGTTCTTGTCCTCACCATCTCCTGTTAAGGGGGAGGAGGCGATTGATGAAGTGCACTTGATGACTCTGAGTCGGCCCAGATGCAGAAGCCCACAGGTGTCTTGTTAAGTAGGCAAGCAGTTTGGCCCAGCCAGGAGTGGCGGGCAGTGAGCACACCCACGGGGGYGTGGCCGTCTGAAGGGCTCTCCCCTGCTCAGCTCCAGGCAAGTGTTGCTGTAGGAGACCGAGGGACTTTCCCAGAGTAGCCCAAACTTCAGAAGTTGTTTCTTTTGGTACCGACCATTGAACCCCACCCCAGCCCCATTGTATCTTATTTAGAGACAGGGTCTTGCTGAGTTGCTTAGGGCCTCGCCGTTTGCTGAGGCTGGCCTTGAACTCATGATCCTCCTCCCTCAGCCTCCCGAGTCTCTGGGATGACAGGTGTGCACCATTGTGCCCGTCTCCAGAAGTCTTTTTGAGGGAAAAAAAAAATTTACAGATTTAAGCCAGTGTGAGAAAAAGAGGGACAGTCACAAAAGCTGGACCTTCTGAGGGCTGGACCGAGTCTCCTTAGCCTGAACTCTTTCTCCTTCAGAGAAGTCATTTTGCAGTTTTGGGAGTGAACTCAGAGCCTTGCCTGTGCTGGGTGCACTCAGCGCCATCCCCAGGAAGGATCTCACTGAATTGCCCAGCTGTTCTTGAACTCTTGACCTTCCTCCCTCAGTCCCCTGAGTAGCTGGCCCCGCAGGCTGCAGCACCCGGGTTCACGTTATTTCCAGTCGGAGCCGCGTTCTCCTGTGCTTAATCTTACACATGGTGTTCCTGAGTTTTACAGGAGGGCAGCTGAAAACTAGCCTAGTGCCGGCCTAGAGTCTGTGCTCGGTAGACGCTGCCTTTCCTTTTTTTTTGTTCTCGTTTCTGTGGGGTGCACCTGCCCCGGGAACCTGTGGGAGGGTGGGCATCAGGGAGTGTCAGCAGGTGGCTTAGTGTCCCATGGCACAGTCCTTCATGCAGAGCCTGGCACACACTTATCTGGGCAGCTGGTGATTGTCTTGGTGGCTTCAGTGGCCTCACCTCCTGTGAACAGTGGCACTCCCCGTGGAGACTGACTGTGTGTCTCTGGTGCAGGAGTTTCAGAAGGAGCTGAGCCAGTGGAGGAAAGACCCCAGTGGGAGCAAGAAGAAGCCCAAGTACTCCTACAAGACGGTGGAGGAGCTGAAGGCCAAGGGCAGGATCAGCAAGAAGCTCACGGCTCCCCAGAAGGAACTTTCTCAGGTCAAGGTATGGGGCTGGGGACCTGGTCCAGGATGGGGGAAAGAGAAGCCGTGCCCAGGGTGACGGTGACGGCTGGCCGTTTCCCAAGGTTCTCTTGCCTTCCGTCAGGCTGCTGCTTTTCTTGAACCCTCTCCTCCTGCCCTGGTGGGATATTCCTGTCGTTAAAATCTGCGCATGTCCTTGTTCTTAATGTGACAGGGTTCCAGAGGTGGCAGGACTGTTCTGGATCCTTCCACTTTGCTAGACCTTCAGCTTTTTTTCAGGTTTGGTTTGGGTTTTGGCAGATTAGTTTGCACCTAAAGCTTTACTTGAGGCTGAGGAGAGGTTCCTAGGACAGCCACCAAGATAAAGAACACAGAAGTCGCCCAGGCCTTACGTGCCGGGAAGCTGGCAGCGACTCTGGCCGGGAGCGTGTGGAGTGTCAGGGCACTAWGCTGGGGACACTGGAGTCTGAGCTCAAGCCCGAAGTTCTGCTTTGCTGGCGGATGGAGTCTACATGCGCTGTGGGCCTCTGTAGCTGGAGAGTCCGTCCTGTGTCTGCAGCTGACCACGCAGGGCCTGCTGAGTGGCACCAACCCCAAGGTCGCAGCCAGCCGTGCCGTCCCGTGTCAGCAGACCCCAGCAGCTCATCCTTGTTTTCTTTCTGCGTTCTTGTCTCAAATATTTGGAGAATGAATTTCATGGACAGTACGACAAGGCCAGGGGGAAAGGGGTGGGTTTTGCTCAAGTGACAAGGAAAGAGGTGGAACTCGCAGGCTGAGAGGAGGCCCGAGAGCAGGCTGTGCTTGGCTGTTGAGTGACGTCGCTCCTGGGTCACCCACCGCTGCTGTCCAGGTGTATCCAATCAGGTCTCCAAAGCATGAGTCCTCGGGGTCAGCTCTGCACCTTCCTGCAGGCTCCACTCAGGTCTCCCCACTTCTGCTCTCCCACTGCTCACTAGGCCCAGGCTTCCTCAGGGAACCGGCCCCACGCCCTGGCTTCCTCGGCCCCTGACTCCTCATGCCCAGGCTCTTCCCAGCATGGCTGTAGTTCCTGCTCCCCACTGCTGCTCCAGCCCATGGAGACTGCCACTCCTCTGCCACCTCTGAGTGGGCGGCCTGGGAGTCATTCCAGCAAGGATGCCACTGTCATGTGCTCCTGCAGTGCTCATTCCCATCGCCTTCCCAAGAGCTGAGAGCAGTGGAGATGGCTGCCTGTGGCCAGGCAAGGACAGGTGTCATCAGCTCAAAGAAGCCCCGATGGTGTTCTCAACTCGCCCAGCATGCTGCATGGCATGTATCTGGGGACAATAAGGAACGGGTGCTAGGTTCCACCCGGCGAGGTTGAGTCGGATCTGGGCTAAAGCCCTGGGCGCTCTTTCCAGGCTAGTCACTCTTACTTAAAGCAACAAATGATTATTCAGAGGCACAGGCCACACTCAGATTCCCTCAGTTTTCCTAAAATGTTAGAAGTAGTTCATTCCTAAGTTGCGTTAGTCCAATAACTATGTTTATTGTTTTTATATTTTTAAAAATTTTATTACAAGAGTAATGGCATTTTAAGAAATTAGGAAATTCAGAGAATAAAAACATGAACAATAGTACCCACCCTCCCAAGGTCACCAAAGTTGAACGCCTTATACACCTCCTTTTAGGTCTTTCCCTGTGCTTCTGGGCATCTGTGTGTAGCTTTTACCAAAAGGCCATATTTTGATTATCAAGTTTTGTTAGCTGCTTTGATGAGTAGAGCTTCTACTTTTCCATGAAAATAGGTTCCTTTGCTAACACTTAGTCCCAACTCAAATGTCCTGTTTCCTAAGGTCCTCCGTCTGGATCATTCAGAGGGATCCAGCCTCGGGCTCTCTGCACCCGTTCTGTCCCCGAGCCTCCTCTGATCTAGTCCCCCATGGAGCTACCTTGAAACACGCTGCCCTCTCACAGCTCTGCTAAGCTGTGGTTGACACTCCTGCCCACATCCTGTCTGACGGGCAGCAACGGTGGGCGCTAACCCGTGTCCTTTCTGCTCTCGCTCCAGGTCATCGACATGACGGGCCGGGAGCAGAAGGTCTACTACAGCTACAGCCAGATCAGCCACAAGCACAATGTGCCTGACGACGGGCTCCCGCCGCAGTCCCAGCTGCCACCCCTGCCCGGCAAGGAGGCCAAGGCCCCGGGCTTCGCCCTGCCCGAGCTGGAGCACAACCTGCAGCTGCTCATCGACCTCACGGAGCAGGAGATCATCCAGAACGACCGGCAGCTGCAGTATGAGCGGGATATGGTGGTGAACCTGTCCCACGAGCTGGAGAAGATGACCGAGGTCTTGGAGCACGAGGAGCGCGTCATCTCCAACCTGAGCCGGGTGCTGGAGATGGTGGAGGAGTGCGAGCGGCGCATGCAGCCCAGCTGCCCCAACCCCCTCACCCTGGACGAGTGTGCCCGTGTCTTCCAGACCCTGCAGGACAAGTACTACGAGGAGTATCGCATGTCGGACCGCGTAGACCTGGCCGTGGCCATCGTCTACCCGCTCATGAAGGACTACTTCAAGGAGTGGGATCCCCTCAAGGTGAGCTAGGGAGCTGTGGCCCCTCCCGGCTGGGGCGCGCCCTGCTGAGGAGGGCGGAGCGGGAGGGCCTGCTGACGCCCTTCTCCTCAGGACTGCACGTACGGCACGGAGATCATCTCCAAGTGGAAGAGCCTCCTGGAGAACGACCAGATCTTGTCTCACGGCGGTCAGGATCTCTCTGCAGATGCCTTTCACAGGTACCGCGGCGGGCGAGCGAGCGCGCGCTCCTGGCCCAGGGGTCGCTGGAGGCAGGGGACAGTGGAGGTGCTGTCCATGTTAACCTGCTGCGCACTGGTTCTGCTCTGGGAATTTAAACCACTCCCTGCTTGCTCAGCCTGGCTGTCACGTGTCTGTTCAGGGCCACCCACATGTTGGCCTTACCTGGGGGACTGCAGCCAGCTCTGGTCCACCATGCAGCCCACTGGGTACATGGTAGCGAGTAACGAGGGCGAGCACTTACTTAGAGTGGGAATCAGAACAGAGGTCACTCAGGAGGGGACATCAGGCTATGGCCCAGAGGGTCAGAGGTGTCAGCTGTGGGTAGAGCTCTAGGCGGGACAGCACCTGTAAACTGGAAAGGAGCCTTCTGCTGGGGCCTGTGAGCCTGTGTCACCTGCAGCAGACTTGCCAGGCGGGTGGGCACTACCAGGGGACCCAGGCCAAGTAGGCCGGCAGGGGAGGTCAGGTTAGCCAGGCGGAGCCTCCGGTTCTGGTACTGGCTGCTTCTGTGCTGTTGCTTTTCCTTGTGCTGTGGTCAGGGTTAGGGAGGTGGCGGTGGCTGGGGTGCTTGGAAACCCACCCGTGGGGTAACCAGGGGCCTCTGCCTGCCGCAGGCTCATCTGGGAAGTCTGGATGCCTTTTGTTCGAAATATCGTCAACCAGTGGCAGCCAAGAAACTGTGACCCGATGGTGGACTTCCTGGACAGCTGGGTACACATCATCCCCGTGTGGATCCTGGACAACATCCTGGACCAGCTCATCTTCCCCAAGCTGCAGAAGGAGGTAGGCCTGGGGACAGCTGTGGTCGGCGACCCTGGGGACTGTGGAGCATTTCTCCTGCCTCCCGCTGTTAGAATGCCTGGAATTCAGAGTCCATCAGCACAGCCCTTTGTCCTATGGCAGAGTCCAGCCCTCTCCTCGGGACTTTCCCCCAGACTCTAGAGGGAATTCTTTTTCTTGAGGTCTTCAATGAAATTAGCCTCATGAGTCTCTGAGGTTTAACACGTTGTGTGTTGGGGTTGGTGTCTCAGTTCCGGGGACACACAATGTGAAATGCTTACAGGCACTTTGGTCGCCATAGAGGGGAGGCTGGGTCATCTACATGAGTGCCAGGGACAGCCTGCACAGTGGCACAGGCCATGATCCCAGGAGCCTGAGGCAGGAGCGTCACAGGTGCGTGGCCAGCCTCAGCAACTTAGTGTGGCCCTATCTGAACCAGGCTGGGGACGGGGCTGTGGCCGAGGCCCTGGTTTAGTCCCCAGCACCAGGAAGGTAAATGGAGAGGGCCGTGGCCTGGGCCAGGAGAGCAGGGCCTTCCTCCTCAAGGACAGTCCTCCCCCACAGCCGCACAGGGTGGGCTCCAGACGGCCTCAGGCTGCATCAGCTGCTCCTTTCCCCGACCCTCTGCAGGTGGACAACTGGAATCCCCTGACGGACACGGTCCCCATCCACTCCTGGATCCACCCGTGGCTGCCCCTCATGCAGGCGCGGCTGGAGCCCCTCTACTCCCCCATCCGCAGCAAGCTGTCCAGCGCCCTGCAGAAGTGGCACCCCAGCGATTCCTCGGCCAAGCTTATCCTCCAGCCCTGGAAGGACGTCTTCACTCCCGGCTCCTGGGAGGCGTTCATGGTCAAGAACATCGTGCCCAAGCTGGGTGAGGAGATGGAGAGCGTGCATTCAGTCGTGGCCTCGGGTCTCTGGCCCTGCAGCCAGCGGTGGAGAAACGCCTTGGGGTCCCTGCTGCTGTTTACCGTGGCAGCGACTGAAAGCCTGCAGTGGGGATGTGCAGGTCACTGAGTCCCGGCTTTCCTGGCTGGTCCGTTTCTGGCCCTGGCAGCAGCACAGCCGCTGGCGTTCTGGGATGGCCGTGGGGTCACACTCTAAATTACTAGGGGGTTATTTGGGGGTAAGAGGAAAAAAGTGATTTTTAAGAATCGCTATGGTGAGCGCTTAAAATATCCTTTAAAAGCAGCTTAAAGACTCATGTCGTCCGTGGCTCTGCTGGTAGGAAGGCTGACCTTGGGGACGGTTTCTCCTGTAGGGATGTGTTTGGGTGAGCTGGTCATCAACCCCCACCAGCAGCACATGGACGCCTTCTACTGGGTCATCGACTGGGAGGGGATGATCTCCGTCTCCAGCCTGGTGGGGCTCCTCGAGAAGCACTTCTTCCCCAAGTGGCTCCAGGTGCACTTGGTTTGCCTTGTTGTGGGAGGAGGTGGCAGGGTGGGGACATTCCTTGATTTTCTGGCATGGCTTGACTATAGTTGTGATTCCACTTGAACACACATCACCAAGGGGAGGCATCGTCTATCATGACAGTGGCGCCCGTTCCCTGAGCACTCTATCTGCTCTGTGTCACTCCTCCCAGTCCCCTGGGGGAGGGACTGTGACATCCCTGACACAGAGGCTGAGCTCAGCAGGTTTCCTGTAAGGGCACTTAGCCACAGACTGGCTCTGAAGTGCCACTTCTCAGCTCCTAGAAACCCATCAAGTGGTGTCACTCGCTTGGAGGACCAGCGTCAACACAAGGGCCGCTCTGGGAAGGTGGCCCTGCTGTTGCCGTGGGGTGCAGGTTCCCTTTCCTTCTGGCAGGTGCTGTGCTCCTGGCTCAGTAACGGCCCCAATTACGAGGAGATCACCAAGTGGTACCTGGGCTGGAAGTCCATGTTCTCAGACCAGGTGCTGGCCCATCCGTCTGTCAAGGACAAGTTTAATGAAGCACTAGACATCATGAACAGGGCGGTGTCCTCTAATGTTGGTGAGTGAGGATCCCCACGGTGGGTGTCCTGGCCCCACATCCCTGGTCTCTAAACACACGAATGACAGCACCCGGGTTCTGGGATCCACAGGCTGCCCACATGGTCTCTCTGCACTCCTGCGTGGACAGCTAGCTGCTGGACCCAGTTCTCTGTCCACTATGTCTGCTTCCCAGGTCCACTGGGCTGGTGGGGCCTATTCCCTGATGGAGGCTGGCTGCAGCTGGATTCAGACGCTGCTGCTCCAGCCCAGTGTGGCCTGGTGCTTTGGAGGCTCCCCGTGCCAGCCAGCCGGCCTTGGGTGTTGCTTGTGCTCGTGGCTTGTGGCAGGGGTTGTGGGATCAGGGTGGACGGTGTCTCGCTGAGCAGTTGCTTAACCTCTCTGGGCTCCACGTTCCTCATTGGTTACAGGGGGATTATGTGGGTTACAGCCTGTGCCGGGTCACGGTCACTTGGTCCCTGTTCCCAGAGCTGCTCAGTTCTAGCTAAGTCGCTCTGCCTAGATCAGGAGTCAGTTTTAGGTTCACATTTTGACACTTGGGAGCGTCCCAGTCCTGTGCGGTCGTCTGAGCCAAGGCCATTGATGTGCTTGGCCGGCTCCGCTGGGGCTGCAGCATGCTTCATCTAATGTGTTTCAGGGCCCAGTGGCTCGGCTTGCTCAGGGACATGGTGGTGCAGGGTGGTGGCTGGGACTGTCATTTCTATCCCCTTTCAGTTCTGTTTACCCGGTTTCCTGAAAACAGCTGAACTCACTGGTGACATCATTACACACTCTTTAATGAGGCAGATGAGCTTCTGTGCTGCTCTCCTGTCCAGGTCCCTCGAGACATTCTCCCCCAGCCACCCCCAGGTTTCATGGTCCCAGAACTGTCCCCTGCCTGGAGCCCTCAGTGTCTGTGGCCCTCCGTCACCCTCCAGGTTCTGCTCTCCTAGAGTCGGGGACCTGAGTGGATAAGTTAAAACATGGCGGGTGTCCCAGAGCGGAGCCGAGGGCCTGAGATGGCCACGCTGGGAATGAATGGGTTCCCAGGGTACTAAGAGCGGCCAGTGTGCAGTGGAGACTCCAGGGACATGTTAGAGATGAGCCATGACTGAAGTCAGGGTTGCCGGGGGTCAGGAGGACCCCCCATTTATGTTGGTGGTTTATCCCGGTTATCTGATATTAGTCTGATCTACAGACTAGTTTTTGTGATACTGTCCACTTGTCCAAAGTCCCCCCAGTCACTTGAGTCTCTGAGGCAGAGCTGCCCTCGGGTGAGTCACGAGAACAGCCCAGACTAGACCAAGTCACGGTCAGTTTCCCTCATGCCCTTCCTCCCTTCCCTACATGCAGGGGCCTACATGCAGCCTGGAGCGCGGGAGAACATCGCCTACCTCACCCACACGGAGCGGAGGAAGGACTTCCAGTACGAGGCCATGCAGGAGCGCCGCGAGGCCGAGAACATGGCCCAGAGGGGCATTGGTGTGGCTGCCAGCTCTGTGCCCATGAACTTTAAGGACCTCATAGAGACCAAGGCCGAGGAACACAACATCGTGTTCATGCCCGTCATTGGCAAGCGGCATGAGGGGAAGCAGCTGTACACCTTTGGCCGCATCGTGATCTACATTGACCGGGGGGTGGTGTTTGTCCAGGGCGAGAAGACCTGGGTGCCCACCTCCCTACAGAGCCTCATCGACATGGCCAAATAGACCAGAGATGCGCCTCACAGAGGCGATGTACACGAACAGTGTTTCTGACCATCTTTAAGGTCAGGCCAGGCCACCCGGAAGGACACCGCTTTACAAGTGCATCAGTCCTGTTCTGGGTGCTGGGGTTAAACTCAGGGGTGCTTAACCACTGAGCCACATCCCCAGTTCCCTTTTTAATATTTTACTTAGGGACAGGGTCTCACAGAGTTACTTAGAGCCTCCTGAGCTGCTGGGATGACAGGCATGTGCCACTGCACCTGGCTGACCAGTGTCRGTCTTCACACTGAGTTCTCAGGCTGTACATCATCCTCAAAACACATCAGTTGGTGAGGTGCACTGGAGTGAGTGCAGGTCAGCAGTGGGGTCTGTAGTCGTCTTCCTGATGATTTCAAGGTCCTCGCAGTCCTGATACTCTGGTTCTTCCCGAAATGCCCACACATCCCTGGAGAGCTGTTCCAGCTTTTGTGCAGGGAACCAGTGAACAGAGGTGTCATTAAAGGTGTCCGTGTACTGGGGAATCTGAGGCAGCTCGAGTTCCTCCAGCCCTTCCAGAATCTGAGCAGAAAAATTCAAACATGACATCAGTCACGCCAGTGCGTGTGCTTCTTGCTAATTTTCATTTTACTCACCACCCCATTGTCCCTTGAAAAAATAAGGAATAGGAGACTACTGACTGCTCTAGCACAGGGCATTGATGCCCCTAGGACAGTGGTGTGCTGGGCAGTGACCCTGATGGGCGATCAGAAAACACCAAGGGGGTGCTGAAATGTCACAGCTCTCTGGAACACACCCCCATGAAGAGGGTTGCTGACGGTACAGTGCCGTCAGTGTCTCCACTGGCAGAGTGTCTACCTGGAGCAAAGCTGGACTCTCCACGGTGAGCAGCGGAGTGGTTCCACCCTCTTCCCACCAGGCCCCTTTATTCAGGTACCTTTGCAACATAAGGGTAATTTTTCTGCAGAATCCTTGTCAACAACCTAGAAATTAAAATAATACAATTATGAGRTGTGAAGATGGTTTTATTTAAGTTAACACGTGTAGGAAAGTGAGATGACCTAAATATAGTAAAAGTTAAAAAAAAAAAAAAAACACGAGGGGAAGTTAAAAGGAGAATGTGAAGATTCCAGGGCTTTTGCCTGGGTCCCCAGGAGATGACAGCACACCTGAGCATCAGAGGTGGAAGGGAGCGGAGCTATAGGTAGAGAGATGGAGAGTGTTTCAAAGACACCTCTGTCACTAGGGGAGGGATTATTTGTAAAGAGACTCTGCACAGCTTGACTAAGGGTCTAAAATCTGATTTGGACTGGGGACAAGGCTCGGTGGCAGAGCACTTGCCTGGTGTGTGTGACACCCTGGTGCCCATCCCCAGCACTTCAAAACCTGACTGTCCCCCTTTAGCAGTTTCCCTACAGAGCAGCATTTCCTAGGGCAGGATGGCAGGGGATGCACTCTGCCTGTGGCAGTCTGCTGTGGGTGTCACCTCTGGGCTGACACGACAGTGTTCTTGGGGTTACCTCTCCTCCAGGCCCTTGAAACTGTTCCCGATGATGACCATCTTGGAAAGGGCCTCTACTGACCAGTTGCTCCATAAAAGGTTGTTATACAAGGCTGTCCCGCAGTGGGGCATGTAGAAGACGGTGGGCTGGCCACAAACACTCCGCTTTCCTTCCTGGGAACATGAAATGACAGGTGTGACCTCTCGCAGGGCACACTTCTTTCAGCAGGTGACAGAGACCTCAGGACAGATGTCAACATGAGCTAAGAGACAACTGAGCATCACTTGTCATCCCAGCAGCTCAGGAGGCTGAGGCAGGAGGATCTCGAGTTCAAAACCAGCCTCAGCAACAGCGAAGCACTAAGCAACTCAGTGAAACCCTGTCTCTAAATAAAACACAAAATAGGGCTGGACGGGGCTCAGTGGACAAGTGCCCCTGAGTGACACCGCTACCCCGGCCACCAAAAAAAAGGGACAACTAAACCCCAGGTGGAAAAAACTGGAAATTGTTCCAGTTTAGTCTACACTGTTATGTGGGATGGGGTGTTGGGAGGTCATCATGCCTAACAGGTATGGCCCCATGAGCATAGAAAGCTCTGGAGGAGGTAGGGGGCTTCTTGGGTCACTATCAAAAAGGACAGGAGGGACAGCTGTGGTGTCTCCATGTACTGCAGTTAGTGATCCTTGCCTCCGGTCTCACTTTCTGCAGATCCCCTTCAGATGTCCCCCGGGAGCATAGACCACTGTTCTACAGCAAATTCCCTGGCTGTGTGGCTGCTGCCACCTCTGGTTTCTCCACCTGCAGCTTCCTTTGTGTTGGATGGAACCCAGGGCCTCATGTGTGCTGGGCAAGCTCTCCACCACTAAGCCCTAGCCCCAGCCCCCTTTATGTTAATAAGAAACCTCAGTGGACTCCTGATCAGCCAGCTCTGCATAAGCTGCCTGCAGTCCTGGTTGTGTCCCTTTAGCAAATTCCTGGCAGATCTTCAAACCCCAGTTCAGACCCAGAGAAGCTCCCTGTCCTTACCAGCACCCCGCTACACTGCTGCATTCACCACTGGGGTTCACAGGCCACATGCCCTGGTAGCCACAGGCTCCCTAAAGTGGACTGGCTCTCGGTGATCCTAGTCTCTGGCAAGCTCCCTGCCCAGCTCAGAGCAGGCACTCAGAAGACCATCTGGATTGAGCGCCAGTGTTCCAGGACCCTGTCAGCACTGGGGACGGACTTGTCAGCAGGGCCTTTGTTGGAGGTTATGTAATGAGCCATGAGATGGCAGTTTCAGGACACAGAGGAATCAAATGATCCTCTAATCCCCAAGAGGATGCAAATCTAGATTCAGAGGTCTCTGCGCATCCTGGCTTCAGTCCTGTCCTGTGGAAGGGCTTCTCCTTCAGAGGCCCTGGGAATGTCAAAGCTCTTGGAGGTGCTGGGGCAGCGGAGGACCTGTTCACAGGTCCCAGCCAGGTCTTCTGTCTCCTTTTACTACCTTTCCTGGGACAGGGTGCAGCCTGACTAGACAGACTCATTTGAGGCACCCGGACTGTGCCTTCTTGAGTTTTAGGTAGTGCAGCAAATACCAACTTAGAATAATTTTTGGACAAAAACTCGTCACAAAAATTTTGCAAACCTGACTTGCTGTGGTTCGTGCTCTTTGTGTAAGTTTTTTTGACAGGACCATGACATAAAGCAAAATGTGGGTGACTGATTAGTCACACTGTACAGACACGAGGAGGGAAGTGGGTGGTGGAGAGGGGCCACCACCACCGCAGAGAGGCACTCTGCTCTGGTCAGGATCCTCATGTGGCCCACCCGCCTCCCCACCGCTCACCTCGTTCTCAGGGAGAACAGTCACCCCGAGGGAGTGAAGAACAGCGATTTCAAGCTGGCTGAACAGAGGGTCATAGACCCAGCAGTGACTTCTGGGGATCTGCGAGGGAAGAAGAGTGGCCTCAGCCCAAACACCCACAGCACAGTGTTTGAGGCCGGGGGGGTGGGGGTACAGGCGGGTCCGATGCTCACCTGGCACTTTTCCAGGAACAGAAGCAGAAACGCAAGCTGGGTTCTCGCTGTGACGCAGGTGGCAAAGCTGCCAATGCCATAGCACACACACTTGATGTGGCAGGCTCCCCTGACCAGGGCCTCTCCTGGGTTGGGGTGAGGGGCCACATCCCACTCATCGGGTGAGGTGAGATGCAGGTTTCCAAGGGCATCTGAAAGGGTCCCTCCGGGAGCCTCCAGTTGCCCCAGCTGTTTTGTAAGACACTGGCTGATGGTTTCTGAAAGAGCCCGCAGCCAAGGTGCATCAGGGGCCACGCTCTGACCCTGTGAGCCAAGCCACCAGACCCAGGGCAAGACGGCTTCAACTCAGAAAAGCTGCCCGGCACATACAGCCACACCCAGGGCAGACAGATGATCTCTGCCCTGGACCCCCACAGCCTCAGACCCCCACAGCCCCAGACCCAAGAGAGACTTTCAACAAAACATGGCTTTCCCTCATGGGCGGTTTCCTCTAAAACTCGAATGTGAACTCAACTCTAATTTGACCGGAGATGTCTGGTAATTGCAGGCTATGCTCTGAAATACTTTTTAGATTAGAAGGGCATAACTTTCAAAATCACTATAAATGTCTAGGTGTAGAAATATTTCTATGTAAAAGTTAAAAAAAAAAAAAAAAGGCTGAAGGTGTCAAGAACCTAATGAAAGCTGTTCTGATGAACTCCTGTCCCACAGAGGCAGGTTCTTGTCCCTTTTTTTATTATATTGGTACTGAATTTTGTTGAACAAAGCTACATCCAAAACAAAACAAAAAGCCATGCATTCCAGTAACAAGATAGCAATTTTCACTTGTCAAATTAGCAAAGCTGTCTTTACATAAGACCCCAGGCTAGGAGAGCTGCGCAGGAAAACTGGCTCTTTAGGTTCTTGCTGATAAGAGACTTGGGAAAAATTGTTTGGAAACAGCATGATAACGGACACCAAGTTGGTCACTTGCCTTTCACTTAATTCCGCTTCTGGGACTATATTCTAATAGATCACACTAAATTTGGCACAAGCTTTATGCATAAAGATGCTACTTGTGAAGTTATATAAAATAACTAAAATATAAAGGGAAAAAAGCCCTCAATAAAAATGACACCCATGGTAAGCTCACTCAGGGCATGAATATCATGTTACCACATTACATGTAGGAAGGGACCGCAATGGCAGGAAACAGCCTGCCCCATGCTGTCCAGGAAGAAGAACAGGATAAATATAAGCCACAGCAATAATGATAAGGACAGTCGGCATTTACTGCCTTCTGTGTAGTGGGCAAGCACGGCTCCAAGCACCAAATCGTCTCATTTAGTTCTCATGCCTATGTTACAGGATACAGATGTTACTATCCTCATTTCACGGAGAAAGAAACTGAGCGTCACATTTAGTTAAGTGCCAAGAGACACAGCTCTAAGGGGGAGTCACAAACACTGCTCTGTGAAGCAAGGTGCTCTCCAAGGAGGGTTACATTCCCTTCTCTGCCCATATCCACATCTTCCTCTCCCTCCTTCCACCGTCCCCTTGGCCAGTGGTACTCACCCAAGGCTGCGCTCCAGAAGTCAGAGACGAGCAGGTCCTCTCTGTGGAGAAAAGTACAGCACGCTCACCTCCCACCCGTGTCAGGGCTGCCCGAGCAGTGACCTCCTGACAAGTTGGCTGCATGGGAGGTGAAGGGACCTCTGGTGCAGAGCCCACCCTTACTGACTGAATGACAGGAAGGGAAATCAATTTTGACATGTTCAGGGCCCTCATACATTCTGCTGGGGACAGAGAGGGCTTCCGGGAGGAGGCCTCAGGTGCCCAGGGGCAGATCTGGATCCGTTTGGCATCCTTAGCCCACAACCATACCTGGCACTGTTACAGCTCAATAAATCGTTGTTAAATTCTTTGATTGAGCGTTTTTGAGCTTTAGTTTCCTCATGTCTGGAAGGGGGATAAAAACTGTACCTACATGGAGGGCGACAGGAGGAATTCAGTGGTCTGACATTCTTAGTACAGTGCCACATAGTAGGTACTCCTCAGTCTTTGTCATATAAAACATTCTAAAGGGGTACATGTCATTCAAAATCATAGAGACAAACATGTTTGCCAGGGTTGGGAGGAGGGGTGGAAACTGCCGTGTTATGTGTATGGGGTTTAGGTTTACAAGATGAAAGACCTGTGGAGGTAGGTGAGGGTGACCGCTGCATGACATTACGGATGTATTTAACACCATGGAAGTGCTGAAGCGTGTACTTAAAAATGGTTAAGATGATCAACTATGTTATGTCCATTTTGTCACAATAAAAAAAGATTTTAAAAAAAGATTCTAGGGGGCTGGGGTTGTGGCTCAGCAGTACAGCGTTCACCTAGCATGCGCGAGGCCCTGGGTTTGATCCTCAGCACCACATAAAAATAAATAAACAAAATAAAGGTATTGTGGCTAACCAAATAAATAAATAAATAAATATTTTAAAAAAAGATTCTAAGGGGAAAGTAAAAGAAGAGACAAATCAAGTGTCTGGTGTCTTTGCTCAGGTCATCTGCCTTCCACAAGCCATAAGCCAGAGACTATTTGGGGGTTCTGGAAGGAATGGACAGTATTGAAAAACATCTGCCCAGAGGTTGCCCAGGTTCCTCACAACAGGTAAAGCAGAGCTCCACTCTGTATGGCAATGCTGTCAACTGGCAAATATGTGCATAGTCAGCATGTAGAGCCTTGGGCCCCTTCCTGTTCAGAGCAGTGGTGACTTGACATAGAGGGGTGCTGGGAGAAGCGGGGAGCTCCTGGGAGATTCTGAAGAAATTGAGGAAATAACAGTGAATAGAGATATTGTTGTGGATGCGGATGTGTCCTCCAAAAGGTCACATGTGAGACAATGCAAGAAGGTTCAGAGGAGAAATTATTGGCTTATAAGAGTCTTAACCCAATCAGTGAGTTGATCCCCATAAGGATTAACCGAGTGGTAATTAAAGGGTAGGGTATGCCTTAGGGGCATATGATTGTATCTGGCCAGTGGAATCTCTCTGCTTTCTGATCATGATGTGAGATGCTTCCCTCTGCCACACTCTTCCACCATGTTCTCTCTGCCTCATCTCCAGCCCCAAGGAATGGAGTTGGTCTTCTATGGACTAAGACCTCTGAAACTGTGAGCCCTCTAACTTATCCTCTACTACAGTTGTTCTGGTCAGGTCGTTTAGTCACATCAGTGAAAAAGTCGACTAAAACAGATAGGGAAAAGCACAGTTACTCAGGAGGCTGAGGCAGGAGGATCTATATTCTAGGCCAGCCTGGGCAATCTAGTGAGACCACTGTCACTCTCACACACAGTTACCCCAAGCCCTAAGACACACTCACTTTCATTGCACCTTCCGAGATCTTAGAAAGAATTGTTTTTATTTCCCAGTCTCAACCAGTTGGTTAACGCTTTTGATTCACAGGACCCTCTGGTAGAAATTAATCTAATTTTTATCTCTTGTGATATTTCTTCACTCACTGATCTGAATCACTGCTAAAGCTGTTAGTTATTGAGCTCTAACAGGACTGCAAGTAAATAAAAATACTAAACAGTAGTAGGTAGCATTTACTAAATACCTCCTGTGTTGGGCACTGCGTGCTTTGTAACTACAGGGCAGGGTATGGGGGGATTTGGGTAGAATAAGAGTCCTGAATAATGACAAGATGAAAGCACAGGTTTTGGAGTCACAACGATCCGAATTTGCAAACTGGTTCCATGCCTCGCCCATGTCTCTTTGAGCTACCAGCATTCTAACAGCGTGTGTAGACGGTTTAAGCCAGTGCTAGGCACACAGCATCCACCCCAAAACTAATGGTGGTGGTGACAGTCACGTGTTCCTAATACCAACAACCAACCTCGGGCCGGGCGGGAAGGGCCTTGCCCGGCCGGCGCTCTGGGCGGGCAGGAGACGGTTCCGTCCACTGCATGGGAACCCCGGGGTCGACCTACGCGGGCCGAGTTTGCAAGCCCGTCCCATAAAGGGGAACGCCAAGGGGCGCAGCTGTCACTGCAGCAGGGAACGAGACGCGCTTACAATAGCCTGGGTCCGCAGCGGGCGAGTCCCCTGCATTAAAGCCTCACAGTGACCCCAGGACAGGTGCGCAGCACGTCCCCATCCCCACCGTACAGCTGGGGCGACGGAGGCCCAGCAAGGCGCCTCTGCCCGCCAGGATTGGCCCGCACTCACTGGGCCTCCCGGAGCCGACGCAGCACGACTCCGCTGTCCGCCTCGGGCTCTGCCTCCCGGCCGCCAGCCTCCGCCTCCCTCCGCCGCGGCCGCCTCGCCGCCGCCGAGCGCCTCCTCCGCGGGGCCACCTGCACCCAGGGTTCCAGCGCCACGGCCGCCGCCATTGGCCCTGACGTCACCGCCGAGCGGCGCGCCGGCCTGACGTCACCAGCGCGCGCCGGCTCGCGGCCGGCGKGAGGGGGCGGGAGGCTGGAGGCGGGAGGCGGGGCGGCGCGTGACCTGGGCCTCTCCGCGGCGCGCGTAGGTACCGGGCGGGACTCGCGGGCACCCGGCCGCCGCCACGTTCCGGTTCCGAGTCCTGAACCGGGAGCCCCTGGCAGGCTGGCCGTCCCGGTGGGTGGACGGGCGTGGGGACTCCGCGGGCGGGACCCGCTCGACCCCCGCGCCTTTGCCCGCCGTTTCCCAGACCCCAGCGCGGGGGCCGGGCACGTCCGGGAGTCTCGCGCGGTTGCCGGTCGCTTCCTGAGCCCCCGGGGCTCGTGCCCTCCGGCCGCCTGGCCCTTCGCAGCCATTAGCGCCCCCTTGCCAGTCCCCCTGTAGCCCACCGAGGTCACTTCCTACAGTACCGCCGTCCACTTCTGGCAGCGTGAGATGTGACGTTCCTGCCACTTCCTAGGCTGCCAGTCTTTTCTGGTCACACCCTGACACCTGTCCCTGCCCCAGAACCATCACAGGTTTCTTTTGGACCTTTCGGAGATAAGACAGTGGTCCTCGGTAGTGTGGGCCCAGTCCTGTGGGAACGGGAGGGGTGGAGTTTCAGGCTGCTCTTGGTTCTGGGAAATGAGGTGCTGCCCCCACAGGTGCCCACGCAGGCGCTGTAGAACCTAGGGAGAGTGGCCAGTGGCGGGGGGGGGGGGCGCCCCCAAAAGTCTGGCTGAGAAAAGATCAGATTGCACAGACCACCTGAGATGCACCACAGTCCTCTCTACCAGAGAGACTTGCAAACCATTATTGGTTCTTGCAGATGACAGAATGGTGGCAAGTATTTGAGACCATGTTACTGAGGACATTAAGCTTAGAGAAAGCAATAATAAGAATACAGTTCTGAAGTGACCAAGGGGTTGTCACATGAAAGGATTAAACCGTGTTTTGGGTTTTCTTGGAGAGTGTCCAGACCAGTGAGTGGAATTTACTGGGAGCAGATTTTGGGTTTGATGGAAGGATGACTTGAATATTATGAACCTTCTGTCTCTGGAGGGCTAAGCCAGAGGCTGTGGAGGGAGCTTTGGGTGGAGAGTCAGGGAGGAGGATTAGAGTAAATGAGGCCAGGATCTCTTCTGACTCTGAAGTCCCTCTGAGTTGTCTTTCTCTTGTGGGAGTTTGAAACCTACTTAAGGGAAAGTTCTCTTTTTGCATTTTGCAAAATTGCTCAGCTCTGAGAGTGTGTATGTTCAGATTACTTTGGGCTGTCAAAATGACAGTTCCTTAATTTAGTTTCCATTATTACTACAGCAGCCACATTATTGGGACAGCTGTTCTCAACACCTTGTGCTTTTTTATACTAATCAATTAATTTTGTCTTCTGTGAGGCTTGTTGTGTGTTTACCATAACTATTGGAGAAATTAAGGCACTTACTTTGAAGTCTCTGCTAACACCCTCCCTTTTAATTTTGAGCATAATTTTCACCGTTGTAGAAAGCTCTTTTGAAATATACCACTTATTTAATCCTGCCTGGGTCACATGCTTGCTTGTGGGTTTCTCAAATAATCTATTCCTTATGTTTATTTCAGAGCCAAGGCACTGACCTTTGGACTGGATGCTTCAGAGCATTTGAAAGAACTATCAGGATGATTTTGAACTAGCCACATTAGAAATCTTGTCGGAAYACTGCCTCCATCCAGCACATATCTGCCCAGTGGAGTTTTCCTAGAGTGGAGCTTGAAGGTGCTGTTATGTAGACATTCCTGCTGATGCTCATGGAACCAGACTGGTGGATTTGACTTCTCTTACTTTATTATATTCTGAATTCCAAAAGGTGTAGAGATATTCATGAAACTGAAGAGGCTACGCGGAAAGGAAGAAGCACTTTCATCTGAAYAAAAACTAAGAAGTGGCAATCAAGATAGAAAACACCTAACCCTACCACACCGGCTTCTCTGCAATGGAGACACAGCTGGGGAGCAAGAAGTGATACTGGAAAAAGAAATCCAAATAAACAGGATGAGGCTGACTGAGAAGTAAATGGCCACCTCTACCTCCCCAGAGACAAAGTCAGCCYCTTGGTGAGTATCAAGACCTTTCGCCAGGCTTCCAGATACATCTGGGTGCATTGAAAATCCCCAGCCAGATCGTCTTGCTTTAAAAAAAAAAAAAATTATAAGGTCATTTTCCTTTGAGTAGCCACATGGAGCATGCAGGCCTCTTCTCTCTAGAGTTAGCGTTTTAACCTCGCAAGCCTCTTGCAGTGTTTGAGTGAGTCCAACATCCTAGTAGACCATGGAAAAGACCGTGCAGTCCACTTTGAGAATGACCTGGCTGAGGAATAGTTGCAGTAGAGAATTTCATCACAAGAAGAGGTTTGCCCAGTCTAGCTGGTGGCTCGTCTAGCTCAGGAAGGGTTTCTTCCTGAAGCTCAGTCCCCACTCAGCCTCATGACTTAATACTTTCTCATAATTCGGTTCAGCAGACATTAATACAGAGGAGAAAGGTGTTTAACTAGATTCAGCGGGACTTAGTGACTGATCGATCATACACACGGAAGAAAGAGGGAGCAGCAGTTGAGAGTGGCGCCCAGGCTTTCTTTTGCATACCTGGAAGGGCAGTCGGGTGCTTTTACTTGGAATGTGGGACGGGGGAGGACAGGGCCAGGGCTTGGTGGTCCCTGGGTGGCCCTGAAGCACTGAGCCTTCTTGGTCTGGGCTTGCCCTGCAGCTGGTTTCCCATCTAGCCCCCGAACTCAAGAGGGTGCATCATGCTGGAATCCGAAGAGATGAGCTGGGAGACCCGAGAGGGCACAGGCCCCTGTGAGAAGAGTATGGATGGCCAGGTGGTCACATGTCCCTTGTATGCTACAGCCTGGAAAATGTCCTTTTTGAGATTTAGAAGTAAAAGCACGACCCAGCCTCTGGGGAGTTGGCTTTGTGGTCTTAAAGAGGGAATCAGATAATGAGAATTATGTAATAATTATTATCCTGCAGAGTAGGCTGTAAGGGACTTTAGGAAAGAGGAGCGTCAGGGAAACTTGAAGAAAGAGGTTCCTTTGGGTCAGGGAATCAGAAGGTTGAGGAGGAAGCTGACTGAGCGAGCCCCTGGAGCCCGCTCACGTTGGACCGGCAGAGAGGGTCCAGTGTTCCTCTGAACTCGCGAAACCCCTTTCCCTTCCACAGTGCCCAGCGTTGGCCTTGCATATCTGTCGAGCAGGCGCAGAGCACACCGTGGCCCTGCGTAGATGTGTGCGTGCATTCCTAGTGGAAGGGCTGTCCGGGGTCATCGCACTCAGCAGTTGTGAGGGGGGGCAACTGAGATGCCCCTAACTTGTTACCAGAGCCTTAGGCGGGTGCCAGGCCACGTGGCTCACAGTTGAGGCTCAGCATTGCAGATGGGCTGTTGTCGTGGGCGCCATCTTTCCTCCTGCCACTCATGTCCTTGTGGGCAGATGGTCTGACGGCTGGAGAGAGGTATATTTTTAGTTTGCCTCTGATGCACTTAAGGACTGGTTTTATCTATTCGGAGCGACTGGGTTTGTTCTTCTCTGGGGCCACCAGAAGGCTCAGACACTGAGTGACAGGGCTGCTTGGGCTGGGAGATAGGAGGCCCTGTCCTTAGCTGCCGTTGCCACCACGTGGAGGGAGACATGGCCCCACTCTCTTCTCTCGCCAGGTGGAATTATTTTTTTCTCTATGATGGCTCCAAGGTGAAGGAGGAAGGAGATCCCACCCGAGCTGGCATTTGTTATTTTTACCCTCCTCAGGTAAGCCACACCACGTCCTGCTGTTCAGAGGGGCTCCCCTGCCTTCAATAGTGACTTTTCATAACTGTAGAACTTCGCTGTCTTTAGCTAATCCAGGACACTGACAATTATTCTGTCTTATTCTTTT